CCCCGTCTTTTTTTTTTTGGTCCGGACATTTGTGCACCCCTGGTACCGGAATGGACTGTCCGGGTGTCCGGTAATGTCCGGATCACCGGACAGTCCGGACCAGTCCAGACACTGGTCCGGAAGACAGTCCGGAAGTGTCCGGTGTCCGGGTCCGGGGTTACCATGGTTCTTACCCTCAATGAAGCAGCCAATAAAGTCAGAGAAAAGAGAATCAACACAGCAATACTCTTCTTCGACTTTGAGAAAGCCTACGACCAGGTCAATTGGGCCTTTCTCAATGCGAGTATGGAAAATATGGGAGGAGGACCGAATTTCAGAAAATGGGTACGCATCCTGTACAATGATGCGATTGGCCGTGTGCAAGTCAACGGCCTGCTCTCAGATTGCTACCCAATTTCACGATCAGTCCGCCAAGGGGATCCACTAGCACCTCCAATTTTCCTGTTTGTCATGGAAGCAATAACGTCCTTCCTGCGCAAAGACCTGTCCATACACAGACTACCGAAGATTAACGCAGGTTCAACCCATGATATACGTTTCCCAACAGTCATAATGTTCGCTGACGATCGCACTGTCCTCATGGGCCTCAGGAGCATCCTTCAGTGCCCGAGTAAGAGCTGTGGAAGCATTCAGACTAGCATCAGAAATGAAGATCGACTGGAAGAAAACGATCGGATGGCGGTTGTCTGAAGAAGAGGCCCCACTTCTCCAAGGCCCGGAAGCAGCCATGACATGGGACACACCCGATACGCCTACCCGATACCTAGGCATCCTCTTGACGAAAGAAGGTTGCACCCCTCAAATGGCCCAAAACATGCTCGCCAAACAGATCAACAAGATGGGCAGGTGGGGCAATACATTTACCTCCCTGCTGGGTCGCACTTTAGCCATCAACACTTCCATCTTCTCAATGATGTGGTACATAACATCTATATGGACAATCCCCGATCACTCAATAAAAGACCTTAACTGCAAAGCTAGAGCTTACCTGTGGTCTGGAGACCCCAACAAAGAAAATTATTTACCGAAAGTAGCATGGCACTACATTACAAGGAAACCCGCTGAAGGCGGTCTTGGTATTATAGATCCCAAACTTATGAAATAGTTAATTGAACAAGAATACATGAAATCAAGAAACACATGAAATGAAGAATTTAGTCAAAATCAAAGATTTTATTTCAAGAAACACAAGCTCTACAAATAAAGTGGATCGTCAAACTCCTCCCCAAATCCGGAACAGCATGGAACAACCTGCCGCTAGACAGTATAAGAGGGCTGGCTCTGGTAACGACACCAGCAAACATGTCTGGCCTATTTTGGGTAATGAACAAAGAATTGATTCCAAAAACAGGTCGCAGAAACCAACAAAGAAGAGGTACCCCCACCAGAACCAACCCCCCCCACCCTTACTGGACTGCACTTCTAAGGATTTGGTGGGAAATCATGCCGAAGAAGGTTGGGAAACCAAAGACTAGAGAAGGAGTACTGAGGCAACCTCTGTTCGGGAATCCGTGGGTGAGAGACGAAAGTGATCACCTGCTTTTGCTTAAACCCAATGGCACACGTTGGTTATCTTGGATAAAACACGGGATCGAGGCACCGACATGGAAAACGGGGGAATGGGGGGTCAGGATACAAGAGCCATCCCCATCGACAGCCTACCAATTCTCCCACAAGCAGCAGGGCTCGCAAACCTTGGCTGTCCTCACAGCCTTTCCAGTCACTCGGGCAGCTCACAACTCCGTGTCCATTCTGAACAAGGATGTAGAAAGAGTGGTTCTCGATCTGTTCCTCTTTTCCTCTTCAGGAAAGTAAGAGTCATAGGTTCATGGCCCAAAACAATTTCAGGATGGACACATCAATCGAGGACTGGAATTTGACCCGGCAGAATGAGCCTGGACACCAGGAAGGAACAAAGTTGTCAAGACAGATACCCACATACAGGACTACTCAGTCAAACTGGGCTATAGTCTACTCCTTAAAACCAAGGACCTGGACCCCATAAAATCAAGAATAGATGGTCCAAAATAATGGGTCAGGACGCCAGCCAGATCCCACAAATCCCATGGAAAAAATTTAAGGCAATCAGACCAGTTATAAATTAGGAGCCTTCAATGGCTAATTGCCTACGTGGCCTTACCGGTTAATCAATGGCTGCACATCCGGAGACATAAGAACCATCCCAACAGCTCAGATGTATATACAGTTTGCGCGGATAATGAGCCAGAAGACATGCTCCACTGTCTAATACGTTGCAGAGAAGCGACAGAGTACTGGGCCAGGGCATCGGCCCTCTGGGACTCTCTATTCTCGTCTCCCCGCCCCGAACATCCCTTCCAACTTCTCCTATGACTAACATCCCTACCCAGTTGAACAAGACAGAGAAGATCTGGTTCGGAATGATCAGGAAGGCGACACTATGGACCATCTGGAACGAAAGATGTGGCAGGACCATTGAGGGTGTGTCAAAGTCAAGGGGAAAAGTGTGGGCGGAAACAAAGAATTTGATTCAGGCAGAGATTCTATGCAAGTGGCACAAGACAAGACTTTCCATACCAGACGAGGACGAGCGACAGCGCACAGCACAGTTAAAGTTTACCAAGACCTGGCTGATTGAAGGAAAAGTTGCAGAGATAAAGAACTCTTATGTACGATGGAAGGACTGGCACAACTCGTAAGGTGCTAGGAGAGGACCAAGATACCTCACGACTAATGGAGTAGCTCCGACACAGACAACAGTGTCTTATGCTGAGCAACAAGGGTATCAGGCGTGAACTTTGGAGAGGAAGGAAACTTAGATTGGTGGCTGGAGGCAGACACTACCACTTTCGCTTGTTTGAATAGGTTTATTTGACAGGCCCAAGAAGGGAACCTGAGAGGAGCAAGTTGTTAGGGCAAGCTGACAGTCAATCCTCCCTCAAGGGAGCAATCAATGCTGGTCAGGGGTCCTTCAGCCATATGGAAGGAAGCGTGAGTGTGTTTTCTCATATTGTATTCAATCTTGACTTGCCGGGGGAAAAGGAACCGGACTGACGCTTCCCAGAATGGAAAAGGAGCCAGGCCCATAAGGACCTGTTTTGTTAAAAAAAAAAATAAAAAAAATGAAGGCAAACGCATGGCACTCACAGAGAAAGTTCACCAGAGTAGTATGAAAACTCGTATTTGGGTAAGCTTGCGTCCGATTTGATGGATTGTTTGTTTGGCTGTGGAACTTGTCTTTATGGTTTGGTGAAGCTATGCCTGCATGGTGTACTGCGACATCTCTGGTCGGGCAGAGAGGCTCCCACTGCTTCTCAAGGGTCAGGGAGTAGGGCCACAGGTTCTTTTTACATATGATGTCCTCGACGTTGGGAAACTGTTTATAAGCTCTCTACATGTGTACGAGGTTGACTTGCTAAATCGAGGTGAGATCGAGGTAGGATAACCAATATCATCACGTTTGACCTGACCTGCCAGTCCGAATCTTCTTTCTTTTTTCTAAAGCAAGGAAAAGGAGCACAAGCATAGAGTCTGGAGAAGAGGAGAGAGAGAGAGAGAGAGAGGGGGGGGGGGGGGGGGGGGGGGGGGGGGGGGGGGGCTCGCTACTGGCGGGGAGAGAACGAGAGAGAGAGAGAGAGTGGGTGCTGCCATGTGGCAGTGAGCCGCCGGAAGATAATTTTTTCCAGGTTCTCCTAGTAATCGTGTATGGTTTTCAGAGTTCACAGGAGATTGCAGTGGCTAAAGGCCAGGAGCAGAAAGTGCCACAAAACAGTACTCAGGGCCTCGTTAGACACTCCTCGGGGCGTCCTCGTGCTCGAGGACAAATTCCTAAGAAAAAAATAGGATTTTCAGCGTCTTCGTTCAACTCATGCTTGGAGCGTCGGCTTTAGGACAAATCCAACGAGGGATGTCAGGAAAGAAAGAAAGAAAAAAAAACTGTTGTGCGTCAGACTTTCTGCCAATAGGGTCTTGGTTGTGGCATCTCTCTACGTGTGTGCGCTCTCCTCTCCGTGAAACACGGATCCTTGGGCTCCAAGGGACCTCGCGAGGTCCCTTGGAGCCAGAGGACGAAATGGCTGGGGAATCCTCGGGGTGTTTTCACATCATCAATCCCGATTTCATCCCCAAGGACAGGTGGAACGACGGCGACATCCTTGGAATCACTGTTCCAAAGAGTGTCTAACGAGGCCCTTACTTCAATGGCACGTATCCGATGATAGTAGGCTATATATCCACCAGTGCCAGGGACTCTATTTTGCCGAACCTACAATGTTCCCATCATGATATCGTACCAGTCACAGGCAGGATGGCACATCAAAAGTGCGGTGTACAGCACTCATGGCTTAACCAGTGCCGATAGTTCGCGGGAAGTAAGGTGTGCCCCAGCCCCAGCCCCAGTCCCAGCCCCAGCATTAGCTCGTATGCCTATATCCTTTGGCACATCCTTTTCTTGTTTTTTCAAAAAAAGCAAGAAACCCTTTATGCATGTTCAACAATGCAATACAACACTATCGCGGTACAAAACCCCCGACCATGCAGTACATTGCTTCAGGTTGGAGTAAAGGAGATATCTTGCAGTTCGTCTGCTTAAACCACCAGTACCTTTCCCATATATCAGCAGCGGGAAAAAATAGACTAGAAGCATTTCTAGTCGGATGACTTTGGGCACTCCGGTAGTGGCCCATTCGTTCATCATTGTCGCGGCTTGTTAACCGCCGCGACTTTCGGAGGTACTCGTGGTTAAAGTCTTCTTGGGAACGGCTCCTGAGGTGCAGTGAGTGACTTCGTGAACCATAATGTTGAAGTCGAAATCAAAGTCTAGTCCAAGTTAGTCCAATGCATAGTGCTCCACATTACCTCTCATGCAATTAATGTAATATGTGTGCATTTGATGCTTGTGACAACCCATGCATTACCTTTCTCGGCCATCCGATTGGCGCAGTTGTTGGCTTAGTTCATCTGTGTGGTTCCACTGTATTCACTATGTTAGTATGTTGACTGCTTTCTGCCAAATCACACTGTTTTGCTTGTTTCTCCTTCTTTATTGTTCTAGTTTCTCCTTCTTTATTGTTCTATATTCCAACTTCCAATGGATCACGGATTGCATATTAAACCGATAACCACATATATTACACTTTTGTCTTGAGACAAGCAAAGAGTATTCACAAACGATACCTTTCCAGGCAAGTGCATGGAAACCGCACAGGAGAAGCTCAAATCACACACACTATCTGTCCACAGCCCCTGGTCGCTAGCATGCATATGGGAACCAGACCAGTAGCAGGAACAGCAAATCAATGATCACACCAGCAGAAGACTAAACAAGGCTGAAAGCTCTCTGATGGTGAAAACTCCCCTTCTCACCTCCCAACAGTCAATTCAACGACAAAAATAATGGCTCTACCCCATCCATCTGTGAGTCCTCTATTTTTATTTCTGCGCTGCCTCTGACCGACTGTTTTGGAGTATGACTACCCCGGCCGAGTGTGGTCGGACTGGTGGTGCCCAAAATGCTTCCTTTCCCCCTCGCAACTTCTGTGTCATCTTTGCCACTATTTTCTGATGTTCGTCCAACTGTCTGTGATGGGTTTCCTGCAGGCAAAGGAAGTCTGGAGGGTCTGGGCCAAACCAATCCGCATATTTTGTTATGTTAGCCCACTTGTCCGGGTCCGTTAATATTGCATGATATGATTTTGAGTTCTGGTTTCTTGTCTTCCCGTGCGCCCTGTAGTCTTGCTCTTTTCTTTTGTATTCTCTTCCCCTGTTCCATGTGCTTCAAATCATGTGGCTCATGCTTTTTCCCTTTGTATTTTTTGTTGTCACACTTTCTTTGTGCATGCTCAACTGCACACGTTCTACTAGTTAAGACTTAAAACACCAGTTCACACGAGCATAAGTTGACGAAGCTACTTTCCAAGGTGCACGGGCCTTCAACGGGACCTTTGATAGCGCCCTTCTGCCTTCACGACGGGCCCAGCCCCGAATTGAAAAGTTGTTACTGCGTATACCGGTAAGAGCTCAACTTAGGCTAGGGTGAACTGGTGGTTTAAACCCACGTTCCTTGTCTGCAACTTTGTCACACATACCCACACTGCCCAGCTGGGAGTTCTGTCATCCTTCAGCCTCATCCTTTGTGATCTGCTTCTATTAACTGTTTTCAGGAGCTTGATGAGCTGGTAGTGGTCATTCAGCGAGCTGCCAATTGACATGTCCCACACCTGCTTGCACGCAGTGCTTGTGGTCCTGCAGTCAGCATTGCAGTGGCTATGAGCCACCTCCTTCACCCGAACACAATGTCCCAGCATCATGACTGCATCTGGGAGAACAGTATTTGTATACCTTGCCAGCATCGATGTACGTTCATGATAATGGGGGGGATATGTCCGGAGGAAGAAGGTAGTAGTAGTCATCCTTGCGCCTCCCCGGTATCACACAAAACATCTCTCAGATGTTTTTCTCCTACATCAACACGAACTTCAAGCCAGTCTTGGTATCAAGCAAACACAGGGTTTTAAACGGCTGCTGCCTGCTGAAAAATCGGGCCAACGAGGGGCGTGAACGAAGGGCGTGGTTCTTATTATGCCGTCATTAAATGGCCGCGGCCTGCTGAAAAATTGGGCCAACCTAGGACAGTCAGGCCACGTCAAACCCTTGGAGCCACTCATAAAGAGGAGGCGTTCTGCTAAGCAGTGTGGGTGCAAAAAGTTAAGGTCGCGGAGTTACCTTTTCAACACGGAAAATAATTAACACTTGAACCAAAACGTTAATCATGGACGAAGGGAGGGTGGGGGAGGGCATGGAGCATATATTGAACCTATGAACACCCTTTGCGATTCAAATTGTGTGTCTGGAGCGTCGACAAATCGGTGTCGCCAAGGGCATCTGCAGGTGGAGAGGAGAGGGCGGTAAGTACACACACACCCTAAGTTCAGCTATTGCACTAACAATCAAATGCAACAGCAAGTAAGCAACGCTGTTACATAAACACAGACACACAAGTTCAACTGTTGCACTGACAATAGAAGGCAACAGCAAGCAAGCAGAGTATTAAACTCTTCACTATTAGATGATTCAAAGACAATAACACTGTCATGCAAACAACGCACATCATTGTCCTGAAGCACGTTGCATGACAACCCCCATCTGCACACCAACTTTCGTCATACAGATGTGTAACGATAAGGCCTACAAGGGGTCACCAAGGACATCCAAAATGAAATGTGCTCAGAAAAATCAAGGTACTCTTTTTTCTTCTTTTTTTTTCCGGACCATTCCTTGAGTTATGTATGTCATTCTTGAGCAGGGGCTTTGGTAACATTCTCTGAATTGTTCCAATTTTAACAGATGTCCTGAAGGACTAATCAAAATACTTTTCTGCTGCTAACAGTTTCCCAAACTGAATTCCTTATATGGAAGAAGATGAGATTGACCCCAGGACCCAGGTGCTTTTTTAAGCTACAAATTATACATCCTTTTTTCTTTCACCCCTGGTGATTTTGTAAGCTAAAAATAGTACATCCCGATTCCTGGCACTAACAGTGAATTTGTTCGTTGTGTTCTGGTCGACTCAACAGGCGCGGTTTCAGCTTGTGCCAAATCGGTCTCGCTTTGGCAGGCAGTTTACAATTGACCCAACGGAGGGTGTTATTCATGCTGGCGAGTCCCAGACAATTTACATTTCCTTCACTCCATCAACAATAGGAGAATTCTCTGAGCATTTCATGTGGAAGGTTGAGGGTTCACTAGAAGACCTTGTGGTGCATTTGAAGGGAACAGTCATTGGGCCGACATTTCACCTTGACATGGATACAATCGACTTTGGCAAGGTGTCATACAGTTTCCAATACTCTAAGGATGTCCAGGTGCATAATGACAGTGATATCCCGATGCGTTTCGTACTACGCCTTGATGTGGATGAAGGCGTAAAAGGGGAATTCTCCATCGTTCCCACTGAAGCAACAATTCTGCCATGGGTAGGTGCCCGCAGGGAACAATGCACGTGTTCGTTGTATGATTTGCTTTTTCTCTTTCTTTTTAACTGCCAGTACACAGCCCCAGCCTTGCATTCCAAAACTTGTTGCCACAAGAAAACGAGGCCGAAACGTCAAACACTGGGCCTGCCGTTGATATATTGGATTGGTGGTCGCTTTTTCGTCTCACGCCTCCAGAATTCAAGGTGTCAGGCCCGTGACCCAGGTAGTCGTGTACTGGTGCGTTAACGCTACTGGGCTCGCCCAGCTGTGCAGCACGGTCGTGCAACCCGGCCAAGTCCCCCAGGGGTCACCTGCATGGGCAGCCCGTGCAGGTAAAAATCAGCCCCCTTTTTTTTTTTTTTTTTTTTTTCCGAGTTTTTAAACGATATTTGTGGAGTTGATTATCCTTCTCGAAAAGATAGATTTGAAGTGGTGTATAACTTACTGAGTATTCAGTATAACTCACGTCTTCGTGTACATACACGTGTAGATGAAATAACTCCCATCTGTTCAGTAGTCAAAATATTTCCGGCAGCTGGTTGGTGGAGGTTTGGCCAGAGGAGCCCAAATCCGGGCTCCTTTCTTTTTTCAAGCGTTGGCTGTCAAGGGAGGGGGGGGGCAAGGAAGGTTAGAAATCGGTTTTTAAGGGGCTAAAGGGGGGTGCCTTGGTCTGATTCTGTTGTTTTCTTTTCTATCTTCAATTCCGTGAGGAATTCTGATGTGACCCTCAGCCAAGAGTCTTTTGTATTGCAATTCTACACAAGCATTTTTTTTTTTCTGGATTTCTTTCATTAATAGTATTTTAATATATATATCGTCACAAACAGAACTGCCCGGTAAACCGTGGGCAGAGAGAGAGAAGAGGACAACAAACAAGGGGCTGTGACAAACTGTTTATATATATACGAAACAGTTTGTCACAGCCCCTCGTTTGTTGTCCTCTTCTCCCTCTCTGCCTACGGTTTACCGGGCAGTTCTATTTGACGATATATATATATATATTCTGTTTGTGACCATATATATATATATTCTATTTGACGATATATCTCTTTTAGGGGCTGGGGCTGCCGGGAACACTGCCTGGGGTTCATGCCGAGCACCTCCAGTCTATTCATGGCAAGCAGCCACTGGGAATCGGAGCCAGTGTCATATGTGACACTGGGAATCGGACCCAGTGTCCCATAGTACATTGGGACATCGCTCAACATATGATTGCCCTGGGGAGATCATGGGATTAACTGCTAGTGCTCTGTGTAGGGAAAAAAGGAAAGCCTGCCTCTTCAGCCCTTTGTCTCCAGAAAGGAACTCTCTCTCTCTCTCTCTCTCTCTCTCTCTCTCTCTCTCTCTCTCTCTCTCTCTCTCTCTCTCTCTCTCT